GCTCTGTGGTACAGAGTCCTGATCACTCCTAACTTGTGTTCCAGTGGGTGGTGGGAGTCAAAACGCAAATACTGGTCTGTATGGGTGGGTTTGAGATACACGTCAGTTTCCAACCGTCCTCCATCCGAAACTGAGACATCACAGTCCAGGAACGCCAACCTGCCATCTTTCACAACCTCTCGTGTGAACTTAATATATTCATCCACAGAGTTGATGTGATCAGTGAAATGTTGGACTTCCTGGGMTTTAATTTTAACCCAGGTGTCGCAATATTACAGGCAGAAACATGGGTGTGCTATGGGCTAAGTTTCCCTTATTGTTGCAAACCTGTACATGGAGGAAGTGGAAAAGAGAGCTCTGATGTCCTTTACAGGGACACCACTGAGCCTTTGGTTCAGGTATGTTGATGACACCTGGGTTCAAATTAAATCCCAGGAAGGAAGAAAAAAGTCACAATGAAGTAAAACTAAACTACAATGAAAAATCCAGAACTATGAAAACCCTGGTGTGCTCCAAAATCTGAGCAGCTGCTGAGTTTATTGATAAGTTTCCATTTTCCCTGCCGTCAGGTCTAACCGTCCCTTTTCTGTGTCGCAGGTGGCCATGTCTCCAGGAGAGGACGGTCTGATTGGGATCCCCTTCCCGGAGCACAGCAACGAGCTCCTGTCCCACCTCAATGACCAGAGGAGGACAGGACTCCTGTGCGACCTCACCCTGACCTCCCGCGGGGCTCGTTACCCGACACATCGCTCCGTCATGGCCGCCGTCAGTCTCTACTTCCGGCGCTTGTTCGGCGCGGAGGAGGGCGGCAGCGAGGGCGGCGGCGGGTTCAGCGTCTGCCAGCTGGACTGCGTGGCGCCCGACGCCCTGGACGCTCTGCTGGAGTTCGCATACACCGCCACGCTGACCATCCCCAGCTCCGCCATGAGAGACGTGCTGCGAGGGGCCCAGCTGCTGGGCATCCAGTGCGTGGCGGACGCCTGCAGGGACATCCTCGGGGAGACGGCGGAGACGGAGGGGGAGGAGCAGAGACCCCAACAAACCACGAGCGAGAAGAAAACGGCGGCGATGCAGAGCGGCGTGGAGAAACTGTCGAGACGAAAAGACAAGAACAAGGTGAAGAAAATCCGGCCGCATCACAACAACTTCTCACCGCCGAACGTGCTGCCTGCCTCCCCCATCTCCCGCCTCTCCCCCGCCTCTGACAACCACCGATCCCTGCCCCCCACCCAGCCGCCGAGCCTCGTTCAGGAGGAGCTGCGCCTCTCGCCGGGGCAGAACGGGGATTCCAGGCCCATGAGAGAGGCAGGGACGGGAGCCACGCTGAACGGAGGGTTGCTCCACTGGCCGCACGATCGCCCCCGCGTCGCCCACCCGCCCCCCGCCAACCAGCTGCCCGAGGACGAGGAGGCGGAGAGTTTAGGCGACGACGTGATGCTGATGAGGAGCAGCTCCGAACCTACCTCTGCGGCGGACCGAGGCGCCGCCGCGTCCGTCGCAGGAGGGGGGAGGAAGAGGAAGTCCCAAACCCCCCAGCAGTGTCCGGTGTGTCAGAAAATCATCCACGGAGCAGGAAAACTGCCCCGACACATGAGGACGCACACCGGAGAGAAACCCTTCCAATGCTCCGCCTGCGGCGTCCGCTTTACACGGTACAGAAACCAACAATCCAACTTTTCACTTTTTTATTTAAAGGGGCAATACCCAGGCAAAAAAATACTATACTAAGTATATTAAATCTAAGTATACTTTAGTATAATTAAAGCCGCACTAATCATCAGTATACTTAAAGAGTGCTGTTTTGGAACAACTAATTTAATACTAAATATACTTTAGTTGTATTTAAGTTGTACAAAAGCACAATTTTAAGTGTATTAAGTATACTTTTAAATACTAAAATGGAACAACTTCAAATATACTTCGTATACTTTAAGTTTATAGCTTTGTCTATACTCTTCCTTCCTTCCTTTCTTTCTTTCTTTCTTTCTTTCTTTCTTTCTTTCTTTCTTTCTTTCTTTCTTTCT